CTTTATCCCAATCGTTCTCCGCCTTTGTTAAAAAATGCTATATCGCAATCGAAGAACTGGCACATTGACTCTGATTTGTGGTGAAAATCAGAGTCATTACTACATAAACGACGAAGTCTTAGAAACTGAGAAAAAGGAATGGAATTCTTAACGTGAGATGGATGAGAAGACGAATATAACAAGTAATTATGCGAGTCTGTAGGTTTGTAATACACACTAGTGCATAAACCGTTACCTTCAATTGAAACTTTGACGTCTAAGAAGGATAAAGAATTGTCAGAAATTTCCCAAGTATATTTCAGAGCCGGGTGAAAAGAATTGACTGCAGTTATGAATTGAGTGAGCTCCTCTCTGGTAGAGGAGGTAGCGCCGATACAGTCGTCGATGTAGCGACCGTAGAGTTCAGGTTTGGACCCGTTGTATTGGCTGAAAAATTGGTGTTCGACAAAACCTACAAAAGAAGTTAAGAAGTTAGTCTATTTAAATGGTTGTACATAACTGTTGAAGCAAATTGAAATAGGGAAACATTACATAGATTAAATGTACCTTCACAGTTTGGTTAACAGTGAGTGCTTCAGGTGCACTGTAAATTGGAGTACCAGGACAAGCTGTAGAGACCTGCCTCAAAAAATTGGCAGCGCCATAATCAGACACTTTGGCTCGCCATTGGTTAGCTTGTTGCCAAAGCAACACATTGGCACTATTGATATCCCGGTGAATAATAGGACATAGCTGTTTATTATGAAGGTAGTTTAGTGCTCGAGACTCATCCAGAGAAATAACCGACGATTCAATTGCAGAAAGGGGTCTCTCCTCTAAAAGGTTTCGCGGACTTGTTTCCATAAGCTCAGTCACAAACAAAGGGTTTTCTCCATCATTTGTCGCTCCAGTGAACTGGAGCAAACAAGGGTGGCGACATCTTGAGGCAATGTCCATTTCTCGCTCAAAAAATCGCTTATAAAGGGGGGAAAGAATTATCTCATGGAGCTGTTTCACGGCGACAGCACAGCCACAGTACCGGCCTTCAAAAACAGTTCCCCAGCCTCCTGTGCCGAGCGCTTCGTCTGTGACTTGTATTTGATCACGTGAAATGACCCAGTCAGGAGCCTTTTGACGTGAAGGTTCACTTTGCACTCGCTGAATTGCTGAAAGAGAAATATCCAGTTCGTTTACGTTTTCTTTTTCCCTGCGCTGTCTTTCTAAGGAAGAAATTTCTTCATCTTTCTCTTGTAGTTGCCCTTGAACATTTGTCAACTGCTGTGTCCTTTCCATGAGTTGTCCATCCCTTTCCTGTACTTGCTGATTAAACTCTTCTTCCTTTTCTGTCAGCTGCTCTAGCTTTTAGGCTATTAGCCAGGTCTTGGAAATCAATAACCTCGCCAACCTTTGCCTGTAATTTTCCTTGGACTCCCAGCATATTAATCAACTGCTTCATCATCTCTCCCAGTTGTTCATCTCTCTCAATTAACTGCCCTTTGACATTTGTTAATTGCTGTGTCATTTCTCTCAGAAGTCCATCTCTCTCTTGTAGCTGTCCTTCAACATTTGTCAACTGCGGTGCCTTCACTCTCAGTTGTCTATCTTTCCCTTGTAGCTGTCCTTCAACATTTGTCACCTGCTGTGCTTTCGCTCTCAGTTGTCCATCTCTCTCTAGTAGCTGTTCTCCAACCTTTGTCAACTGCTGTGCTTTCGCTCTCAGTTGTCCATCTCTCTTTAGTAGCTGTTCTCCAACCTTTGTGAACTGCTGAGTCAACTCTCTCAGTTGCCCTTCTCTCTCCTGTAGCCGTCCTTCAACGTTTATCAACTGTTGTGTCTTTTCTCTCAATTGTCCGTCTCTCTCTTTTAGCTGTTCTTCAACATTTGTGAACTGCTGCGTCAACTCTCACAGTTGTCCGTCTCTCTTTTGCAGCTTTTCTTTTTCTGTCAGCTGCTTTTCTAATTTACTTAATTGGTCTTGCAAATAAGGGACCGCGTCAACTTTTTCCCTTAATTCTCCTTCGATTTTTGTAAATTCCGGTGTCATTGCTCGTAATTCTGCATTTTTCCATTGTAGCTTCTATTCGACCTTTGTCAACTGATTTGTTCTCTCCATCAGTCGTTCACCTTTCTCTCTTAACTGCCTATGGACATATTTCATATTCCGCGTCAACTGCGCTAATTGTTCTATGAGAAATGAAGATAGCCGTTTTCTCTTTAAAACTAATAGTTATACCGAGAGAAACAGAATATCATTACATAGTTTTCGGTAATAATCATAACCATTACAATTTTTCTGACGGAAATGTGATTAATGCATTAGCTGCTTTTTTTCCCCCCATTAATTATTCTGTAGAGTTGCGATCGGACAGCATAATCGGACTTTTGGCTGTTATTGGGCACCTGTGATCGAAAAATTAAACCAACCAATCGCACTAAGTTCACTCAGCTGAATCCACCAATCACAGAAATGATAACAATAGGCATAGCAACCACTACGTACCCTACAAAACTGGGGAATTTCTGCAACGAAGGAGTTTTTTTTACTTTTGGCAATGTTTCTATTGGATATATTTTCGCCAAATAAATGTGTTTTTTCAGAAACTGTAATGGTTATGATTATTTGGTAATAGGACTTTATGTCGTCGTGTCGTCATGTCGGGCTGTAAATACTCGTGATTGACTAATCAGACTTCCGCTTCGTAGTCGTCCGATTTTGTAATCACTCGCATGATCAATTACAGACCGAATTTGATTGCAGTTAGTCCTATTACTATTATAAATCCCGCAGAATTCATTTGGATTTTAGACTCAGGAAACCTGGATGTACTGACTTTAGTGTTTTACCTGGATGATTTAATTGTTCAGTCTTGTTTTTTCTTGTTCCTTTCTGGTTATATCCATGGTCTGGCTTTAGGTTAAAAAATTAAAATTACGAATCTATTACTTTTCTTGTTAGAGGTCCATTTTCCCGTTTTGTTATGACGTTCTACTGAAAAATTATGTCCTCTACTGACAACACTTCAAATACAGCATTTAGCTTTTCTTCTTCCTCCATGTACCATGAGGGAAGCAGCCAATCTGTATATAAAATACTTTTTGCCTAATCACGTAAAGATGTCACCTGACAGCTTACCAGCAGAGCTCGTCTCGTTGATCTTCATTTAAAATACTCCTCTTCAAAAATTTGTTTGTTAGATCCTAACCTGGTATGTTCTTCATTGTAGTCTCCTCTTGAGAGTTCTCAATTCGGTGGTCTTGCGTTCCAGGACAAAGTCCTCCATCTCTTTTTTTGCAACTTTCGCTTGCAAGCATTTCATCCTGAGTGAAAATGAAGAAGATATCAGACTACTTAGAGTATACCGCAGCAATTTTTAAAAAGCACCTCATACTAGTTGCAACCAGCATTCCTGTCAATTTTCACATCAATTGTCTCCTGCCTCGTCTCAGATTTGTGACTGTCCAGCACTAGTTTGCTTACTCAGATTATTATAGACTCAACGAATTTGTCATTTTAAAATTCCATAGAAGTTGCCTTAGGAATTGAAGCTTTAAAATTTGATGATTCTTGAAAAAACTTAATACTAGTCTTGAATGGTAACCGTTCAAAGAAAAAAAAATGAGCTTTTTTTAGTTACGTTTGGACAAACAGACAAAGTGATAGCCCAGTCGTTAAAAGTTGTATGTTGCCCGCACCATTTGGAAAGTGAAAATGGGGCCAGCTTAGCAGTAGGAGCTGCATGTACAGTTATATCATGACATAAACATGCAAACAAATGACGCAGATAGTTTTTAGTCAGGTGAAGCCGAAAAAATAATAAAATAAAGCCAAACTGCAACAGTCGATACCTAAGACTGATACATGATAATTTTCACGCGAGCATAATTCGAATGGCTGAAATAATTTCTTAAATCAGTCCAATTGGATGAACTATCAGATCTCTTATTAACGCATGCAGCATAAAAAGCCTTCAATAGAAACTGCTCTTAGAGTAGCTTTTTTAGGCTGTCACAATTAACATTCCAATGGATTGTACCATATCGAGATGGTTTAGAAATCATCAAAGCAGTAGATGGGGTAACCAGCAGAATGGGCGTAATTTTTTTTGCGTTTTTCAGTAGAACGGAGCCTTCTAGCAAGCGCGAGGCGGCGCGAAGTGAGAATCAAGAGTGGAGGAGCGCAAGAAAAAAAAAATAATAACGAGCGTGAAATAATAAATGAATTGGTTAATGTGATGATTTTAAAGAATCATAAACTAAACTTTCTTACATTTCTGACATCGATTTCCATGGCACTCAGGATACTTCGGGCCTCGTCAGTATCACAGCAGTCCATTACTGTTCGACCATTGTTGTTTTTAAGCTTTTTGTCAGCACCGAAAAGTAACAACAAGTCCACTACCTCTCTCCAAATTTCTTCTTGCCCTGGTCTTGGCTTAAAAGCTACAGCTAAATGTAGAGGGGAGTTTCCCTCGATGTTCATGGCATTCACATCACAACCTGCATGTAAAATTAGCCTCATGGTCTCAACACAGAAAGGCTTCAACAAGTCGCTGCGCGGCGGGGTTCTGTTCTCACGAACGTATGAGCTAGATACTATATATGGAGTTCCACACAGCCACACAGCCAAGTGCAGTAATGTATTCTCATTACAGGTGCGAGCGTTTGAACTCAAAAGTCTTTGAAGAGAGTCAGTCATAGCTGCAGTTTCACGATGATTCTGTTCTGAAAAAGGGATTTTTGGTGTATAGCATTAAAAGATACAGAGCTTGATAAAGCATTTTTTCGAGTTCCTCATTTTCAGTCTCCTTCTCCAATACCCTCGTAACTGTCTCTCTTCTTTCCACAACTTTTTCAAACAACTCTCTTATGGCTGTAATGTCCTTTGGTCTCATAATATCACCGTCTTGCATCTCTGATTTGCATGCCTCTGTTGTAGAGCGCTTTCAAGGCTGGATATTTCAAGCATTTTTAGGTTTGCCTTTTGTTTTATGAAGTCTCGCCTTTTCGCCCCTACGTGCTATTTTGATGAATCTATAGTTTTGATCATTTATTTTTAGTGTGTGCTTGAACTTGGCTCAGCACTTACCGTGCTAGGCATTTTAATCCCTTGTTGTGGTTGAAGATAACTAGTTTGCTAGGTGGTCATGTTTGAGTTGGTAAAACTGACCTTGAGTCTTACCCACACTGAACATCCTGTTTTGGAAATTCCCACGGTTAGCTAACCCAAACATGTCTGTGATTTTTGTATTTAATACTGGAGCACTCCTTGCTGAAAGTTGTAGAAAATAAGCAGTGGAACAGGAGAGAGAAAATTAGCTGTAGTAGAAGCAGCAGTTTAGGAGAATAAAGAAGAAAATTACAGAGTCTCAGTACCTCTTGTTAATTTGCCAAGCGAGTGGTAAAACCCCTACAACACCTCTATGAAATCATCCACGCTCATCAGTACAAGGTCAGAGAATTTCCGGGTTTTATCCAAGAACGCCCACAACCAACCAGAGGAACGTGAGCCCCCAGAGTCAGCTCTCTGACGCCTATTTTTATACTCCGAAAAATCCTCAAACCTCAAAAGTCTCGTCATGATGAAAAGTCCCTCCATTTTGATGGCTTCATCATCTCCTATCAACTTGAGAACGAGTTCCTCGACAGTTTGACTCTCCTCCCTACCAATCCACATCTCTTTTAAGAACGGATGCATCGGGTCCTCAAATCTCGCCTCCATTCCGCGTTTCATGTAAGTTAATGATTTTTTAGCGTCATAAGCAACATCATTACTAGCAATGCAGGCACCAAGAAGTTCCAGAGCATCAATTCTTTGCTCCTTTGAACAGTCTGGTCTTTTGATAAAATACTCCACCACTTCAATTTTGCAATGAAAACAGGCTTCGAATAGTGGCGTTACACCCTTATCATTTTGATTTTGTTCCGCTCTTAGAGAAAGCAGTTTGTCAACTACATCAACGTGTCCCATTCTGGCAGCATAGTGAAGACATGTGTCGCGGTTAATTGAGTCTTGTAGCTCTATATCTGCACCATGTTCGATGAGATAAGAGGCGATATCCAGGTAGCAACCGTGGCATGCCATCATTAGAGGAGTTCTTACCTCGGAAATATGGTATTTAAACGTCCCTACTTGGGCGTCAACGTTTGCATTACGTTCAATCAGCAGTTTCGCAACATCAAGATGGCCTCCAGTAGCAGCGGCGAATAACGGTGAACAAAGCTCCACAGTTTCGCCTTCGATTGTAAGTGTTTCTCGAGCTTCGATGTCGGCTTCATTTTCTTCGAGAATTTCCTTTACAGAACCCAGGCAGCTGTTACGAGCATCACTATCAAGATCAAAGCGGGATGAAGATTTACCCATCTTAAATTAAAACACCGCGAAACCTTTCGTTTCTCCTATGCTACGCTTGAAAGATCTCATTGGGTTCAACTCAAAATTTGTAAAAAGATAAGTCTTGTTAAACTTCTTTTATTTTCCGACGCGTTTCGTCTAACTGTCGTAGACTTCAGGGAGTTTTACAAGTATAACTAAACGCCTGTATTTATAAGCCAAAGTTAAGGGGGCCGATGACCATAAAGGCTGGACCGGACTTACGAACAGGAACAGGCAAACTTGTGAAAAATTTAAAACGTGTAAGGCAAGGTGAGAAAAATATTTTGGGGGCCACGGTTTTAGCTAAAACCGTGGTCCCCCAAAACTTACTTACATAGATTAGCTATTGTCGCAGTTTTCTTGTAACACACAGCACAATCTAGGTCTGGCAGAATATTACTGATAACCTTCTAATACGGGCATGACTGCAGTTGAACGTAGTCTTGAAGACAATAGTCCTGCTTGACCGAGATCTATGTTTAGGTGGCCGGGAGATCCATTTCTCCCTGTCGTGGTAACGCACACCGTGAAACAGCGGCAGTAAAAGCTTAAATGGATACCCTCTAAGTCGCAGTCGCTTCCAAAACTTATCCCTAGTCTCCGAGAAAGACTTAAAGGAAGAACTGTTTCTAGCATATCTCATAAGCTCCCCTTTTATAAAAGCTTTCTTGTTGCTATAGGGGTGAAACGACTCGAATGGTATGTACAGATATTTCTTAAGAGGCTTCTGAAACGTAGAGAACTGCAGCTCGCTTGAGGAATTATCCCTTGCAGAAAGCTTAGCTGTGTTTCCGGTTAGCTAATTGAAATCTGAACAAAAACTAATTATCGAGAACATCGTGGGAAGGAGAGATGTTTTCAAACAGTTACCGAAGGGGTTTGGAAAGAGTTTAATCTTTCAACTGGTGCCTAGAGTGTTAAAATTCTTGAGCTCGAAAGGCCACGGATTCTCTTCTACTCCCTTGGTCATTGTCATTTCACCTCATTTGTCGATTGTTGAAGACCAAGTTAAATACTTTTGATCATTGGGAATCGATGCTGCTTTCATTGGGGAAAGCAGAACCAAAGACAATAGTGGATGGAAAGGGCGGGTTTGCTTTATTCTTTGTTTGCACGTGACGTTGGCATAAATTAAAAAACCGGGGTCAGCCATGTTGAGGGATAACCACGCGTTACAATCCCTGTAACATAGCTGTCTGAGGTGTAAGTTGAAGGTGTTACGCNCAACTTAACGGCCTGCTGCCAGTTGGCTTGTTAGCTCAATTGGTAGAGCGCTGCACTAGTTCGCAGAGGTCAGTGGTTCGAATCCCGTACAGGCCTGATTTTCGCTATTGCATAAATAGCGCTATCTACTGCGAAGGATCGTGCATCATACGATTCTGATAATGTTCCCACACAAGAGCGACCACAACAGCGAGCACAAGAGCGTGGTTACTACTAGGTTACTACTGCGCATGAGCAGAATATTATGTGAACTTCATATATAAATTGTATCAGAATATTATTTGCTGCAAAACGGAGTTAGACGGTAGTACGCATGCGCAGACCATTAATTGCAGGTCACGTTGTTGGCTCCCAGCCAATGAAAATGGGGGAAAAAATCCATCGAATGGTAGACAATTGTTTGCTGCGTATTCTGCGTTAATCAGTTTCATGATCAACATTTTACTGGTAGTTCATTACAAACGGATACCAGTGCTGCACAATACAATGATTATGATCATCTCAGGTTAAGATCCTCTTAGTTTCCGTATTTCTATGTGTTTGACACAATGTTTTAACAAAACTCGTGAACGTTTGCTTCCTTTCTCTCACCTTTCTTTCTCCCTATGTTACTCTCTCCATGCACTCGACCCATGCCCCCTCCACAATAAAGTAAACTTGCTCTAGTCTTCCGCAACATACTAGTTATCGTTTTCATTCTCAACTGGTGCACAAGATTATCATGTGAATGCCCATTTCCAACAAGACATGGATTCTGCTATCTCAAAAGAACGTCTCGTGGACGAAGACTTCCAAAGTGACCAGTTAGACGAGGAAACAGAGCCCACGACTGCAGTTAACGCCGGAACTAGTTTTGTCCATAGAGGAAGCATTGGCGTTTCTATATCTTCCTCGTTGATCGGCTCCGCTTCAATTCGCGGTGAAACTCAAAGCAAAAATTCGCTGGATTCCGGCAAACGCCGCTTAGTCAACAAGTCAGGCGAGCTGAAAGTTCTTGCAAAGAATGTTCCTCGTAAAACAAGACTTTATCTTGCAGATATATTCACGACTATGATCGATTTGCGTTGGAAATGGGTCCTACTCATATTCGTTGCCAGCTACATTATTTCATGGGTTGTTTTTGGTTTCAGTTGGTGGCTGATAGCGTATGTGAGAGGCTCAACAGTCTGTGTTTGGAAGGTATGTTGCGCACAATTTCTGGTACTTAAGATTTCCGTAAAATGCAGTCGTCCATGACAGTCAAAATAAATTATAACATGAAAATCATTGAAGTGCCCCTGAGATCAAAATTTTTGTACATTATTTTTTTTCATTTTCGTGTTTAGCGTGACTCCTTCACCAACCCTGCCAAATTTCAATTTAGTCCGAGCACCAGAAGTATCTTTTTATGGGTCGTTAAATTCGCGATTAAGCGTCCGCCATTATTTGCTTATGTTCCGGAAGGTGATCGCAGGACTCAGAGGAAGTAACGTCAAAGACTTAACGCGAAAATCTCACATGGCAAAATGTCAAGCAAACATAACAGAGCTTGTGGGGATGGCGTTGGACTGGACAGGGAGTCTTCTGTCAAAGCAGGGGTTGGCTTATGCCAATTTTTTGTTATGTTTTTTTTCCTGAGAGATTTTCTTAAAAAAAAAAAAAAGAAATAATTATACTATGAGCAAACCTGGGTAAAAATTGCCAACTACCTTTACCTGCTCCCTGAAGCATAAGTCCCTTGCCAGATTTCAGTGAGTTTATAGCTCTCTTTAAATTTTCCAAAATTGAGTGGAATATTCTTGCTCCAAGTCCCTCTGAGTGTAAATCTTCTACTGGTTTACAGTGTAAAGTATTTATTCACCAAAGCAAGGAACTACACTCTCAAGGAAATAAATAAGTAAGAAATGTCATTGTGCAGCCTTTGCAGGTTTTAACTTAAGCAAAGTTTTTGATCGAGTGTGATAAGTAATCTGATATTGCCATGAATGCTGTGCACTCTGTGAATGGTACCAATGAGATGCAAAGCTTCAACCAATTGCCCCTCTGTTATTTATGTTTTCCTATGCTTTAGGTGGTTTGCTTGTTTTTACTCACAGTTTTGAGGGGCTCCTTGTCATATTTAGTTGGTTCTGATTGGCTATTCAGAGTACTTTGTTTTTGGTTTAACCACACACAGTTGAAAAAATTTCAACAAAAAGGTGAACAGTCTCATTGTGCAGACAGTAGGTAATTATTAAGACTTAAAGCCTTGGATTCCACTGGTCTATTTATTAGATGTGAAAAATTACCTCACACCTCCATACTTGGTTGGAATTTCCCATGGGATTATTTTAGCGACAAAATTCAAAGGAGAGAGGAGGAAAATCTTCTACAAAATTATTTAACCCTATTTTTAGAATTACTAATCTTTGTCAGGATAAGGACTAAAGTTGACTTAAAATTGTGTAGCTCACACCTTTAAATTTCTCCATCCTAGATATCCATTGTCCAAGATATTTTCAGAAAAACTTATTTATTGGCTTACCCTTGATTTTTATTAAGAACATATGTTATCTTGCCAATTGATGGTGATTGCTAGAGATGTTTGTAATCATGAATAGTTTCTAAGGGTAGCTGAATTGGAATTCCACACCTTCAACCATTGAGTCCTCCCTAGTACCCACTCTAATTTGGTACTCTGAGGCACTGAAATCAACTCCTTTTCTGTGAATTATGAAAAGCCAACTGGGTTTGCCTCCCATAAATTGGTATATTTCAACAAGTTCCCATCTTTCTCTTATTCTGTTTACCCACATGAAGCTTTGGACCTTGCTGATTGTAACAGTATGTAATAGCTGCAGATCCAGACCTCGAGTGAAGTGGAGGGGGTGGGGCGTTTTTGTTTGTGCATGTTCACCTGCTGTCTTTTCTCACTTCTGTGTTTATTTTTTTACCCAAAATAAGGGAGGGTGGCAGGCCCCCCATTCCCCTCCCCTAGATCCACCACTGCATAGGATGCCTGTCACATGTGAGCCTGGCAATTGCTTAGCTACTCATGGAGTTCTCTTTAGCTCAGTTACAGAGCACTGAAGGGCAGAAATCAAAGGTCTGGGGCTTTATTCTATTGGGGACTCAGAATTTTTTTCTTTGTCCCTCAGTCATGACCAGGAAAAGAAATTGCTTTAAATATCTTTATTTCATCACCCAACTCAAAATTTACCATCTTTCTCATTTAATTTGAATTCTCAAACTGTTTATCTACCGACTGTGTCTCTAACTGGTAGAGATGTGGTAAGTTAAAGTAAAATAAGTAACGTGAGTTTTGAATCGCTTGTAATAATCTTAACTTCTGTCTTCCAACAGGTTAGCAGCTTCACAGCTGCTTATCTTTTCTCCGTCGAGACCCAAGAAACAATTGGTTATGGGCAGAAAGCTATCACCACAAAATGCCCCGAGGCAGTCATACTGTTGCAACTTCAGAGCCTTGTGGGATTAATTATCGATGCTTTCATGCTAGGGTTGACATTTGCCAAGCTTTCGAGACCGCGAGAGCGAGGGAAGACTGTTATGTTCTCGGAGTATGCTGTTATAGCCCCGAGAGATGGCAAAATGTGTCTGATGCTTCGAATTGGAGACGTGAGAAAGAGTCAAATCGTTGACGCATCTGTACGAATGCAGCTATTCAGAACTCATACTACTGCAGAAGGAAAGGAAATCCCGTTTTACCAAGAGAATCTTAAAGTGTGCTACGACTGGCGTGACCCTGACAACGACTTCAGGAATAAACTGTTCTTAATCTTGCCTTTAGTAGTCATTCACATCATTGACCAGAACAGTCCCTTTTATGAATTCACACCTCAAATGCTCCAGCGGTCAGACTTCGAAATAGTGGTAGTGTTGGATGGGGTGGTTGAAGCGACCGGACTGAACACGCAGCCCAAGTCCTCTTACCTCAGCAGTGAGATCTTGTGGGGCTATGACTTCTGTAACACTCTGGAGAAGTCTCAATTCAGCGCGAAAGGCTTTTACCATGCCGATTTTTCTAGGTTGAATGACGTACATGTGGTTGAAACGCCAAGGTGTTCACCGAGAGAGTATTACAGGCAGAAACAACCAGAAGACGCCTAGAAATGTGTATCTTTTCATTCCGTAAAGTGTTTCCTCTTCCCCGGAGTAGGAAGAATCAGTGCCACAGCGTTCAAAGTCGGGTTGCGTTATTGGACCAATTTTGTCTCTGTTCGCGCCAATTTCCCGCGCCAAATTTCAGAGGAAAACATAAGGAACGAAAGACTGCTGTCACGCAATATATGTGAATAAAATTGAATCACTCAGAGAAATCTGCAAAAAGACACAAAAGTAGGGAAAAAGAAATCTGGAGAGATGTCGAATGTAAAGTTTGTTTTAATTAAGGGTATTCTGTTTTTTTACCATTTTGTGAAAGATTTCTGTATCACCCTATACTATTCAAAAACAAAGCAATAGTCTCCTAGATCTGTGCAACCAAGAAAGTTTGCAAGTAAGACAGCACGTTTGGTGTAATGATTGTTACAAAGTAGCAAATGGGGAAAGTTGTTTTCTGCCTTAAAGTTGACATTTTTGTTATCCTTGCACGCAATTTTGGTACAGGTGATGTGGAAGGGTCGGCAACAGCGTTTTCTTGTCATCGCAAAACGATCCGACGAGACATTCAGTACGTCTACAACTGTTTAAACTATTCTTTAATTTATTTTCTTATCTTGTGATAAAAAGGATTGCCCCTACAAAAAATGTATTCTATCGCTGTAAAATAACACCAGTTAAAATGAAACTTGGGTTCAATTCTTTTCATGTCCTTTACAGATCATTTTGATTTTTCCATGCTTTTCTCATAGGTTGTTTATTTTCGCCCAAGTATACATGATAATTGAAAGTGCCAGCCACAGATTGAGGTGCTTAAAAGACAGAAAGAGATAGATGATAGATAGATAGTTTAATCATCAATACTTTGCAGCCCGAGGGCTGAATTACGTATTGATAAAACTAACGTATATGTGCACGATCCTTCGCAGTAAAGCACTATTTAAGCAATAGTGAAAATCAGACCTGAAAAAAATTTCAGGCCTGTACGGGATTCGAACCACTGACCTCTGCGGTTATGAAACGTATATGTGCACGATCCTTCGCAGTAAAGCACTATTTAAGCAATAGTGAAAATCAGACCTGAAAAAAATTTCAGGCCTGTACGGGATTCGAACCACTGACCTCTGCGATACTAGTGCAGCGCTCTACCAATTGAGCTAACAAGCCAACTGGGAGCAGGCCATCAAATTAATTCGACATAAACCCGTAGATGATAAATCAAACAACAANACATATGTTTCATATGTTTGTTGTTGTTTGATTTATCATCTACGGGTTTATGTCGAATTAATTTGATGGCCTGCTCCCAGTTGGCTTGTTAGCTCAATTGGTAGAGCGCTGCACTAGTATCGCAGAGGTCAGTGGTTCGAATCCCGTACAGGCCTGAAATTTTTTTCAGGTCTGATTTTCACTATTGCTTAAATAGTGCTTTACTGCGAAGGATCGTGCACATATACGTTTCATAACCGCAGTTCATACATATGTTTCATATGTTTGTTGTTGTTTGATAAAACTAAGTACAGTAAACATAAAGGTACATAAAAAATATAAAAAAGCGTGTAAAAAAGTATATAAAAAAATACTAAAAATCTACGTATATATATGTAGATTTGGGGGTAGAGTCTACCTTGGCATAAAGTGCTCAATGCTGTGGTAGCAGAGCTAAGTATACATAAGTTAAAGAATTAAAGAGGACGCATCGATTCTCTGTGACTCTGAGTTTCGCACCTAAGGGCTCGTCAGACAGAACTTTATTCAATGAAGAACATACCTCCTATACAAATTAGATAAGTAGCTAATTAATTCACTAGTGTGATGATCTGATCTACGTGTGAAATAAAGATTCTAGAGAGCTATTGCTGGCGGCTTGTGAAATTTGCTTAGTAAAACTTCAGGCGGCATTTAGAAATGAGTTCTGTTCTTTTGTTTAATAAAGACGGCCTCTTAGCTCTAAGTAAAGTTTTTCTGTGAGACACATATTATAGACATTGCCCGCTTTTCAACTCGCACCAACTTGTCTATTAGGTACTTTGGCAGGGCATTAAAAAGACGGGTGCCGCGTACGTAAGAACAGAGCGTATACAAGCTGTGTAAAAAGTGAACATATCTTGCCGAGGAACTCTTGGTCTTTTTAGCTGCACTAAAAAATACAGACACTTAGTTTTGAAGCTTTTTGGGTCTGTGAATACGAAGTTTGCGAGCCGTAATTTGTTAGTAAATTGTCTTGTGCTTGTGGTAAACGAGGTAAATTTCAGCAGCGTAGGTTCGTGCGCATGCCTATGCCTGAACCTATCTTTTATATGTCTCGAAGGAGATTTTTGGGCCAAACTTCAGGATCACCGGTTACCTTCAAGTTTGGATGAAAATCTAGCGGTTACCTTCAAGTTTGAGAGAAAGTTTGGATTGTGGTTTAACAAATATCCACATTAAAAGCCTCAACTGGAAGTTATTTCGCGGTCATCTGATCACCACTGAACAATTCCTGACAGACTGCGCACGACGTGGTATTCAGGGTAGCAGCCATTGATCTTAGAGCAAGGTCTTTCTTTATTCTAGTGTTGGAAGTTATGAGGGATTGCTTTGCTTCGTGATTGACCTGGAAAACCGCGGCTCTCTTTCAATCAGTTGCACGTGTAATTAACGTGACTAAAACCACCCCCGTCTTAGACACTCGTGGTTGTCCACCCTTACGGGCTTTTACATGAATTTTAATTGAATGTCCATTAGCTCCTTGGGATCTTTATTATCCTAGGTTGCCTTGATATACTAGCAGTCATGAAATCAATTTCTTTTTTTAACTTGTTAACTCAGTATTAGTCGAAAAACGTTCGATCGTTGATTCAGCAAACATATATTGTCCTACGCAGTGATCGTAAAGTATTCCAAAAATCTAAAATTTTACGAAACTTCTCCATTATGAATACCCCGTTTTGTCCGCTTCCACTACAAACCCACAGAGATATTTTCGGACAGTATGCCCTTCGGGCAACCACCCTTTCTAGTTATTACCACAGCCCTCGATTTTATTGTTTACTTTTTCTTTGACCTGACTATTTCCAGTGACAATCATATGATGAGGTGGCTGATCATGCAATAAAGCCCAACCCAACGTAAATCATCGTTCAACTATTAGGGAGGACAAAGCAGAAGGAAAGACAGAAATCAAGGCTGAAGGGAAAAAAAGTGTAACCACACATTGAGAAAAAAGTGTCAACATTACTGAGCTGGATCTTTTTCGTTCTGATCAACCTTCCGGCCGCAAAGAAACATGTTAAGACGTGCAGACATGTAGTAGCATTTGCATATAGAAAACCGGATTATAAAGGGCCCCGGATTTACGCAACAAAACCGCGAATAGCGTTCCGCGCGAGTAATCGCGAGGCACAATGACACGCGTGTAGTGGTCGTGTCACACTCGCGAAAGGAACACGCAATTTTCTCAATGTTGGTTTAGCGGACAATAACGACAATATGAAAAATGACACTCATGATTCTTGCAGCTGTATCATTCAAAGGGTGATAAAGCCCGCATTACATTTAAAGTTATTCATGAGCCGTGACGGACAAGTTCTTATTTGTTACGAGCTCCAATTTGTTATCATGATATTACTATATGCGACTCATTGGTCCGATGTTTCGATGTTTTTTGTTCTCAAACTGTTATTGTGTTCCCCAGGAAACAAAGTATTATTACTTCGCTTATATAGCACTAACGGTTTTCAATACAAGGTCCTTTACGGGTAGTTTCTTCCTTGACAACAAACAGAGCCCTGCAGCATGTCTGCCTCTTGGAATAATTCACAAGAAGACTTTGGGAACCAAGGAAAAAAACTTCGTAACTTCATCAAAGCGTCAAAGCTATCTCTAGGACATTCATCTCCTGCCAACTTGAGAAGATATTAGCACATTTAATCACTAAGATCGCTTGAAAACGTACGTCCTGTTGAGGCGTATGATGATGTAATAGTATTTTGAGTTAAATCACGCGAAGTCAAAATTGATACTGGTCACACAGGTCGTTTGGTGAAAAATTCGCGTGATGTGCACATTCTATGATTGATTATTCTCAAGTTGTATGTTAAATCGCTGTTTAAAAGACTTAAGCAGTATTCGGAGGTAATTGCGAGGGACAAAAGGGGCTAACTTTTTGCAACTTTGGATTATCGCCGGAAGGCCTGTTTAAGGATCACAGTCAAAAGAACTTTTGTTTGCTTAAAAATTACGAGACTTTGGGATTAACAATATCGACTGGCCGACGACAACAAATTGCCCTATTATCACCAAGAAGGAATGCATACGTAAAGTAAATTATTTTTGTGAGGAAACTGCAAAAACAATGACTTATTATGACCCAAGGTCGGGCATAGCCTGCAAACAAATAGAAATATCGAGAACAAAACTGAAAGACAATTTTTCAGTTTGGTTGTCGACGAACCGCAAAACCATTTTGGCTTAAAAAAACCAAAAAAACAAAACAGCTCATTAAGACGAAAAAAGGCACGGATTTTAACTTTTAAATATTCTTCAAGATGGTTGTATTTCAAAACAACAAATTAAAGATCCAACAACGGTTTGTTTGACAAAAATAATTGTTTTCCTTTTCAAAATATTTACATGCGTCAGAACTTAGCCATCTGCTCATCGTTTTAAATATCTAAAATGTTACAACCCGCTTTTTATCGATCACCTTTGTTCTCCAGAATATGGTAAAAAAGAACGTTCCGTTTCATTTTAAAAGCATACCTATCTATAACTCGCAATAAGCGATAACGCAATCATTGAATAAAAAAAAAGGAGTCCTTCGTGATAAATTGAGTCAACAGCTCTTTAGGTGAACAGTTTGAAACAAGTGATAATATAAATCAATTTTTTTTTCGGCACATTGTGCGAGGGCCTAATAAAAACGTTGGCTTGGCCACTTAAACAGGTGCCAAACGCTGCTCATTTAGGTACACAGGAGCGATTAAAATAACATGACTAAAATTGACTTAAAAGATCAAAGATCTCTGCTTGAAGGCTAATCAATTGTCTATGAACAAAAACGATAAAACAACCGAGAATGTTATATGCGTTTTGAATACAAATGATAGACTAGTAGCTCTCACAGAGCTGAAAAAAAAAAAAAAAGAGATGTTTTCGAAGAAAACAGTGGGACATTCAATTATGTCTAGATTGTTCGCTTGTTTCAATCTCTCGTTTCATTCACGAATGAGTTGCCAGCCCAAAGCAAATCGTTATAATTTAGTCACTCCATCTTGCTTTCCCACGTCGCCGTTCGGAATCAAGGCTACCCCACTGCGATCGTTGCGCGGGGCTGCGTCCGTCTCGTTGGTGTTTCCCAATTCTTTCATTTCATGCTGTTGGGAATTTGAATAAGAACAATCTGTATCGTTCTCGTCAAGTCTTCTCTCGTAAAATTTCTTAGCACCCTCTCGCGGGAGCTCCACCTCAAATGTTTCGTGAAACCGCGAGACGTCAATGTCATAGCAGCCATCGTTGATTGACGTGTCTCTATACTTCATGATGTCAACAAATAAATGTCCCCAGTGAATTTCATCGCCCACGTAAGATGTTCTAGCTTGCATAGTCATGCCTGTAGGCTCCACAATCCCTTCCAAAAGTACAACAATTTCGAAGTCCCTTATTAGAAAATCATCGGGCGAAAAATCGTAAAAAGGGCTCTCTTTATTAATTTCGTGTAGCAGAACTACCGGCGCAAATAAAAATATTTTTTCGTCATCGTCGTTGTCCATGTCATAAGTTATTGAAAGGGGCTGCCTAAAACAACCAATTTCTTCTCCCTCGAACGTGACGTACCGACGGATAAGAAAAACACGAATGTGTGACTCTATGAGCTGTCTTTTTCGTAGATCCGCAACTCGCATCATCAAGTAGAGTTTGTCATCACGCGGACCTATAACCGCGTAGCGTGAAAATAGAATAGTGCATCTTCGCTTGTGAGGGCGCGAAAGTTTGGCAAATATGAGCCCTAGCATTGTGGAGGAGATTAACAAACCAATGATACATTGTATTAGCAGACAAATTACTCCTTCCGGACAGTGCGGTGTGACTTGTCGGCCTCCATAGCCAATCGTTGTTTGCGTCTCTAAGGAGAACAGGAACGCTGAAGTCCACGAGTCAACTTTCTCAATACATTCGATGTCGTGGTATTTCTTACGGTAGCTGTAAATTCCCCACCAAATAGTCCCAAACACCAACCAACTAACTATAAAAGACAGTGAGAAGATGAGAATAACGTATCTCCAGCGAGCTTCGATTAGAGTCGTGAAGTGGTCAGAAAGATAATACAGTTGTCCACGATCGGGTACGTTCACGTAATTCACATGTATTCGTCCTCTCTTGTCCACCAATCTTCGCCGTTTCATCTTTCGTGAAACTGCCCTTCCATTGCGATGTTTAGGACTTTTTTCTTCCCTGACTCGAGGAACACTTTGAATATTATCGAGATCAAGTTCCATCACAGCACGTTTTACTCTAGTCAGGACTCGACGGTAGTTTATAGAACTGGACTGAATTGTTGTGTGATCTTCCACCTTGACACAATTTCGCCAAACAACGAGTTGGTAAGAAATTGATTGTCGCCGTAGTTTATATCCCTTTGGCTTGTTTATCGTCGTCCAGTATCAGCACAAGTGCTATTGCCCACTGATACGAGCCAGGACGGAAATAAAATGTGAAATGCGTGTGTAAAGACTCGTATAAATATGGAACAGTTGACAGAAGAGGTATGCTTCATTAGGTCTGTCGGTACCTGTCAGGAAAAGTGTACATTCAAAGTTTTGATTGGTTTTTAAGCTCGACGCTTCACGCTTTGCCGCCTTGAAACTCACAATTGACCTACATCTGCATAAAAATGCGGCTTTCAGCGTCGATTATTTAAATCTTTATATGCCTAATGACCACGAGATTGAAAAGGTCAATAAGGAGAGGACACGACATTTGAGTACTGCGTAATTTCCCAGCCGGCCCAAGTAGCTGTCATGAACTTTGTTTGACGGCCCAGAATAACGAAAACAGATCCCTCGTGAATAACAAATTAATGGATTTGTTGTAAAGTGATTTTGGTGTAATTAGCAAAATGATCTACTAGTATCAGATCTTACACCTCTTTTATTGTTGTTTTGTTACGTTTTTGTATGACGAGTCACCCGTGATCGCGAGGGTTAACTCGCGTGCATAGCGTGTCCCAACTCGCGAGACTGACGAAAGCCCTCTTGAAATATTCAAGGAGGGCTTCTACATACCTTTTTCGCCCTTCCGTGCATCAGAGTTTACATTATTACAAAGTATCAAACGAAGATTTATGGGATAATATCAATAGGATTTAGTCCGTGCACGTATCAAAAATGTTAGTTCCGCTGGCTTGTCTGCGCAGACTCAATAGTCTTAACTGCCAATGTTTTTATCCGTGTCGTCATCAATGCGTTATTCGAAGGGGAAATTGCGCTACACCCATCACCTTTCAGATTTCATTATCGTGTGATTTCATTATGTTTAGTGATTTAACACTTGTCCTAGAAAAAGAGTCTAATAGACATGTACGTTAAGATTTGTATTTAATTTAGTACCGGTACTGACGACACCAAGGTACACACTATACTCCAAAGGCGTTCAATGGGTTGTCACGCAACACTTTTCAAGTAGTGAATAACATCCAAGGACATCGATAGTTCTGAAGAACTACCAATCCTCTCTGCGTACCAAAGCACCTTGATGAAAGTCACCCTGCAGTCTCTGCCATGTCAAGACCATCAATTACCTTACATTCAAGAGTTCCCTTGTATCTTCTACGAGTACGGATTTTCTTATTTATCCACTTGATCTTTTTTTTTCTTCATCCGTTGTATTAACGAAAGATGAAGGAGAACACCTAAAAATACGTGATCAGGCAACATGTATGGAATAAGAGGCTAAAATGAGTAATAAGCTTGGTATGTGTTCCTGAAGCGGAACAATAAATGCTGAAAGTCGGCGGAGTAAAATCCCGTGAAAGAGAGAGAGACAATAATAATAATAATAATAATAATAATAATAATAATGATAATGTTTTTAGGTATTACTCCACTTTACTTAAAATCACCAAAAATATTTACAAAAGTTTGATAAAAACCCTAAAAATCGAAAAATACATTAAAATGTCCAGAAGCTAAGAAAAACACACCTCGTCTACGTTTACTTCTCGAGCTTTTCGATAATAATAAAGATGATAATAATAATGATAATAAAATGATTATAGGGATAACAATGATAACAGTAATTTTAAGTCTCTTGACAAAGAAAATGCAAAGTCTTCAAAAGTTCAACGCAAAAGAATAAGAAAAATTTACTATAAAAAATAATAAAAATAATCTTTAACTGATGAGTTTAAGGAAGTCTTGCTCGACCCTTCTCTACTTCCAGATCCCAGTCTTTAATGTCTAAGTTCCTCCTTCTCGGGGTTCTAGATCCCATTAGACAAAGGAGCGCGCTCCGCAAGAGAGCAAAGGAAATTTTCGCTCTGACCCATGAAATTGTTGTGGAGTAGCTCTCTTGCTTTTTTTGCAGATAATAGCTCGGCTAATCTTGAGTGGTACCTCAGGCATTCGTTAGCCATCCCCCCCGTCGTTGTAAATACCAGTGGGGTGAAAGTGCCTTGCTCTACTTCTGTTATACGGGAGTTGTATTTTCGCTTCTTTTCATTTTCATGAATCCTGTAAATCTGCTTGGGGCTAAGATCTCTGTATGAGTCTGCGTTGGGATGACACACCGTTTTATCGAAAAAAGCAGCCCGCTGTCGCTCCCAGAATCCCGTCGAGGCGTGCGTCAGGGGCTTGATTAGTCCCTCTGGGAAATTCTTCGCCTGCAATAGGTTGTAAAGCTGGTTCCACCTGCACCTCGTAACAAACCATGTCGAGCAGCTCGGCCTGTAGATCGCGTATTTCATTGCGACGCTGAATGACTAAGCCTCTACGCTGGCAGATCATCGCGTGATCCACTGTAAACAAGCTCCCACAAACACATACTGGCGTAACTAGCTTGTGGCTGAGATCTTGCAAACTCCGCCAACCTGGTCACTTCTTTCACCCACTTTTCTACCTTGCTACCCACATATTGCTCAAGATAAGACCGAGAGCCCAGCGCAGCGCCAAGGTGTTTGCGTCCCTCGGTGGTGATGTTGATACCAGTCACTGCAAAAATTTCCTTCGCGTGGCCTTCCTTTTCCGGCTTAACAACAAGCCAGCATTTCTTGGAGTTAGGATAGTATCCAAGGGTCGGACCAGCCTCTCTCAACTCATCCCACCATTGCTTATTATTATAATAAGCAATGGTGGCGTAGCAATAAGCAATTATAATGGTGGTGTAGCTAATAAGCAATAATAAAAATTATAATAATAATAATAACAATAATAATAATTTTTTTTTAATAAAATAGTTGACGACTTAAAGAAAACTCTATTGACAGTACTGGTAAATGTCACTAAATAATGATAATAATAATGATAATAATAACGATAATAATAAATATAATCTTTTATTCACCATAATCACAAAAATTATAACAAAAATTATGATAAAATGCTTGAAAGTCGAAAAAAATGTGTTAAAATATCTAATAAAAATGTAAGAAAAACTAGAGGATACACGATATGATAGCGTTAATTCACTCTAATCATCAAAAATATTTGCAAACAAATTAAGATAAAATCCTTAAAAATCGAAAATACATGAAAATGTCGACTAAAAAATTATCTAATAATAATAATAATAATAACAACTGTCGGATAATAATAATAATAATAATAATAATAATAATAATAACACCTTTATTTAGACACGATAATGTTTAGAGCTGAACAGCTTGTGGGGTCGTGTGTAAATGCAAATAAACTCTAAATTAAATAAATTCAAATGATGATGGTTTTTGAGCGGAGAGGGGATAACCGGAGTACCCGGGGAAAAACCTCTCGGAGAAGAGTAGAGAATCAACAAACTCAATCCACTTAGGACGCCTGGCCCGGGAATCGAACCCGGGACACATTGGTGGAAGGCGAGCGCTCTCACCACTACGCCAACGCTGTCGTACAACGAGAAAGGAGAGGGAACACCGAATCATACTTGACCAGGAAATATGTATGGTACGAGAAACTGAAACGAGTAACTTGAAGTTTGGCATGTGTTCCTGGAACTGGAGAATAAATGCTTTAAGTTGGCGGAGTAAAATTCCTTAATAGGGAGAGACAATATTCATCATTCCCACGTGTAATGGTAACCAAAATAAGCTTACGAGCTAAACAGAGCAAAAACCATCATAGAGCGCAAACTCCGTAAAAACATTCTTTATTCCTATTTGACCTACCCTGGTACGAGGAGTTATTCAATGTATAACTCAGGAAGGAGTCAGAGGACGTTTATGGAATTCAACGAATTCTAGACAACTGTTAGTGGGCACTCTTATTTACTAATGAGCTAACTCACTGTCTTAGCCAAAGCGACTCTTCTGTTTGATTACTGTTTTCTTCTCAGCGCTGTTGGGCGCAAGACATGAGGTTTCGATGAAAATTTATTTCAGTGACCCTATCAACAAAATGACGATTCATTAGTTTCAAATGCAGCACTACAAACCAAGGTGGTTTCTTCTGACAAAAAAGTGTCCAAAAGTGCGGTGTTTTGTTTCCACAAAATTTTCCTTCCTTCTTACATATTTACACTATCTACACTTAAGTTCTTTAAGTTAACGAGCTCAACATATTCTTATTGCGGATGTTCCAAGCGTTCATTCCATTCAACTGTCTTACGCCAAAGTTCAGACATCGAAATAACAGTTCGTCCTCTTTCACAACGAAATACTAGCAAAAAAGAAGAAGTAGACACAAAGACGTTGGCTATGTCCCGCGCTTGAGAGCCCAAGCAAAACGAAAATTAAACCGCTCACTGCTTGCTTACCCTTACCAAACTAATGTAACTAAAAAAGCAGTTTCCAGGCATGCGGAGTAAGCTCAATTTCCGTCACCCTCTTGAGTTCAGTTTTCGTCCCTCACGGGAAAAAAAAATCTTTAGGGAGGAGTATGGACTCACTTCCCAAACAGTGGATGGCTGTCGAGTCGACATTCGATGTGACATGAACGACATGAATCGCCGTGGCTTGATTTAACCGTTATTTTAAATCGAAGTTTATCTTTTCTTCTTCTTTCCACCACTTTTCTTTCCCTTTTTCCCTTTCTTTCCCTTTTTCTTCTTGTTGAGCTGTTTTCTGGCTTTATGCGCTCGCCACAGAGACTGTATCAATCTCGCTGCTCGTATTTTCAAATTCAGCTCTCTTTCAGCGGCTTCGGCCTTCTCCTTTGCAATTCTCCTCGCCTCCACGATTTCCACGTACTCTTTCTCCAAGGTCTTGAAACGCTCCTCGAGTTCATTTAGCTGCCTTTTCTCCTCCGTGTAAATTGTGTCTAGGGCATCAAATTCATCCTGCAATAAGCAAAAATTTAGAGGAAAGATTTAGTGATTATGATAACATTAAAAGTAGTTTTTCAATAGCCCTGTTTACAGTTTCCAGCGCCACATTAATCATGTAACCGCATACACATGTAAACGAGGCTGAGGTTGACTCGTGCCATTTCTCTGTGAGGATAAATTTGGGGAAATTTGCAAGTGGTTGTTCCCTATGCTTCAGAGGAGGACTTAAGCATGCAACGCGGTAACCACCTCCAAAAATTGCTACAACGCTTTATCGATCTTTAACAACCTTTAGCTACCCCGACGGTTTCAAACTCTCTAAAAATCCCGCATGGAAACTTGAACCAAAAGTTCATACAGAGCTGCCCACCCTGTAACTTTTTTTCTTTGTTATTCTCTTAATTAAAGGGCAAAAAAAAGAAGAGTCTTACTTGTCTTTCTCCCATATCTGTATCATACTTCTGTATCCAGTTCTCAACTTCAGTTTCGATCTTGTACTTTCGCTACAAATAGAACATTTCTTTAAGTAAACAAATTTTAAATGTACTTATAGGCCTCTTTGGAGGTTGGATGGCCGACAAACTTCTAGGAATTAAAAGAACCAAAAATCAAAATACAATACCCCCCCCGAACTGTTGGCCTGATTTAAAAAAAAAAAAAAACTCTAAACGGTAAACATTTCTTTGGTTGAAAACCAAGTCCTAGATCCAGTAATATGAGTTTCAAATCCACTCTGTGATGAAATATAACCTAACCTTAATAAAAGACAACATCATTATGTTTTTGAAGGTTCCTTTTTTTGCTATTTTTTTTGGAGGGGGTAGGGGGCAGGGTAAAAAGGGGTCTGTTGGAGAGGGAGGGTCTATGGTACTTGCATTTTGCTTTGTTGGAAAGGATGTCTAGAACTATCTTCAGAATAAAATATTTTCCCTTTAAACCCTTATGGGTGACTGGCATCTAATCTCTCCATCATTATCACCTCTCTATCAACCATTAAGGTCATGAGATTTGAAAAAATGATCACTAACTAAAGAAACTCTTAATTTTGTAACAACTTGTCTGAATCAGTACCATGGGCAGTGATCATGTATAGAAAGGTGTAGAGGATATGCCTACTGATGGATTAGTAAGAATACAATCTTACAAGGCTAGGTTGTGTTTGAAACCATTGCAAAAAAAATTTTTAAGTCATCAATATGTGTAGAACCTTTTTATTATTTACCTAACAATTTTGTTCATTTAGAATTTTTTGTTTAGTTTTTGGTTTTTTTTTTCATGAGGGCCACATGTACATGCTGGCTAAAGAAAGATTGATTTTTTTTCCTCTATTATTCTTATCGTGTAAAGGGCTGAGGGGGTTTCTGCAATGGATTAGCATCTCATTCAGGGCATCGAAAGGGAGTATTACTCTAGGTTGCTTCATTAAATGGAAACTGGGATGAGCTTTTACAATAATCTTACTCCTAAGCTTACCTTTCTCAATGCCAGTTCACTCTCTCTGTGAGTGAGTGTGTCACTTTCAAGCTTCTTTTTTAACTCAATACTTTCCTGTTGTAGTTTGCTTTTCTTACTATCAGAATTCTTCATTTCTGATGCATCTTGCTTGGCTGCCTCAGTAATGACCCTACGATTTTGCTCCTCTGCATTCTTCTCCACATTATAGATGTCATTTTTCAGTCTAAGAATGATGTCATTCCTCTTGGAAATCTATACAAAAAATAATTTAGTCAAGGAATTGGTGTGTGAGATCTCTCCTGTTTGTGGGATTAAGGGGGTGAATTTCATAGGGTTGGCATATCATGATCTAAAATAATAAAGAATTAATGCAGAAAGTATGTCCAGTATACCTCATTTTCTTTATCATCAATGGCTCTTTTCAGTTCATCCTGAAGTTTTCTGCCTGTCTCACTGGATTTCATCTCTCTAGCGACAATCTGTTTCAAATACTGTCTTCTCTCTTTTTCCTCGCTTGGCGTTGTCAATAATCGCTCAAATAGGACCGCCCTCAATGTGGTCATTTCGTCGATTATTTTATTCCCTTCCACCGATCGTTCGTTCCTCAGATCTTTAAGTGCATTTACGGCGGCTGGATTTGAGGCAAACAACCTGAGAATTGTTTTAACAGAATACTTCATCTGGGTGCTCAGGGCATTGACAACTTTGAGGTCCACACTTTGATCGTCGCTGGTAGGAAGCAGGCTCAGTTGACTTGGTTTCTGGGTGAAGGATTGCCTGCTGCCGGCAGAACTTGCCCTGCTCTCCGGCAAAGCACCTGATGTGCTAGGTATTCCCTGTTCGTTCTCTGATACAGCTTGCGAAGCTTCACTGGAGCGACGCGATGAAACGATCGATGCCGTTGGGGTGGCCGATCGACTTCGCCTTTGGTCAAGTGAGAATTTTGAAATAGCTTTTTGGTAAGACGACTGAATGCGATCATGTTCCTCCAAAACCTGCACCAGATCAGATCCAAGAATGACCGAGAAACGGTTCAAGTTTTCGATGATGTATGGCAACAGGGACACCAATTCCAATCTCTTGATCGAGTCATCAACAACGGCTATCACACGTTGAGCTTCGACTGATGTGAGTTTTTTTCTCTCGGGATCTAAGACTTTGAGAGGATCTGACGTGTCTTTAACCTTTTCCTTTTGTTTTTCCTTTGTCTTGGGAAGAATTTGCTCAAAGCTTGAGGCTACAGAACCTGTTGTTTCTGCCCTGATTACAGTAGCAACCGCCGCCATGTTGGTGTGCAAAGAACTGTGTTTCCACCAGTAATAGCTGTCACCAAGGGAACCATCGCAGGCTAGGGTCACGTGATAAAAATTTCAGACTTTCCAGACTAGTGCAAAGTTGTACTTGTGAACTGCTATTGCTAACAGACTTTAGAAGATTATGTAATTACTTCAAATTAGAAAAATTCTGACATTATATTATCTAATTACTTTTTTCTGCTGCAATACGTCGCGGTAATCTTGCTTATGGTTGGAAATCTGACATATCTAATAACACTATACGAAATTTGTATAAGCAAATGTCACCTTTATTTATTTACTTATTTATTTATTTTTTAACATAACTCAATAAAATGTTAAGTTGGCTCAATTTTCAGGTTTGTTTTGCGGCTTTGTCAGAACGACGTGAATTTCGCCCCTATCCTGTCGAAGTTGGGAACCTCACTGTTTTTTTAGAGACTTAAACTGACTTAAGAAACAACCTAGCGAAAGTTTCCGTTTGGGTGGAGTGGGAGTGTTATAAGGCACTCTAGAGGGGGAGGGCCATCCTTAACAGTATTTGGCCTTCCAGTAAAGGACAATCAGTTTGAGTTTATTTTTCTTGGTGCTAGTCATTTCCAAACAGACACTTTCGAAGAGTTCGCAAAACACTACGTTCGTCCTTTGGACATGCAAAAACGAGTCGAAGCTTTTGTATTCCCGTTTTCATGGCCTTCGTTATTAGCCTGAATAAGAACTTGGCTTTACTTCGCTGCAGCACTTTTTGCATTGAAGACGTGCAACGATAGCTCATCAAGTACACCAAGAATCCTTCTCTTAATCTTCTTTCAACACAAATAAGCATATTTTTACGTCTAATCCCCGCCAAGAGACTCATAGTCTCTTGTCCACGCTGAATCCTTTCCATTATAAAAAACCAGGACTGCACCTTTTCCCAGGGAGAGGTGGGAGGCAGGGCACTTCGATTTGCATGCAGCTGAGGCCTTTAAAACCCGTTTAAGTCAATATCCGTTCCGTATCACTAGCATGTATATTGACAAAAAAATCTCCAAGGATTTTAACGTATCGATCTCATCCAGCAACGACTAATATATTTGGACAAAATATCTTAAGTTAAAACCAGGATTATTAGTTCAACCACAAACAGCTAAGCAAAGTAAGGCCACAAATTTCTCGCAAGAAAATGAAAACGTCCCAACCCCCTCATTAAAAATATGCCTTCACCATTTCAAATTGAAGGCATCTGTTACCAGAGAGAGCCATCTGAAGTGTTTACTGAGTATTACTAGGTTCAATCGAATATCATCAAGATAAATACTGTGTATTGTCAAGTATCATTAAGACAGCTACTGATTATGATCAAGTGGTCTCGACGATATCCGCAAAAGATTGAGAGGCTTGCTTCTTGTTTTTGTTTGCAAAACGCCATAACAAGCCTCGAACTAGATGGCTAGACCATTGCTAAACTAGGCTCCCTTCTTCCTGCATAGATCCTTGAATTCTGTTTTTAAGACGAATAGGAACGGGTTTCTGCTTGTGATATCCATTTCGGGGCGGGCAGTGATAACGCGGGAGACACGCGAGGTGAGTGGAGGAGACGCGCGCTCGAGGAGAGGGAGACACGAGCTAAGCGGGACGACCTCGCGCGCAGACGTTACAAATAATCTACTCTCTCAGCGTCGTCTTAACGTCAGTTGGCAAATGAGACTCGATTGTTTTTTAAATAATGTTCAGGTTTCTTAAACGAGAAAATCTTAAATGAACGAAATTGAAAATTCAATAACTTGGAATTAAGTAGTATCGCCTGGTTGCATTGGAATTGGGAGCGTTGGTTTTTGGCATTGCGGAGAGAACACTGATAGAGAAAAACAAATATTGGTACAGATACACACAAATAAGGATATAAACATGAATGAAGGCTGATAGTTTCTAAAGAAACTGTTTGGGGCTGCGTCGGTGGGGGTAACGAAATAATTTGAATATATCAACAAACGGAAATGGTAAATTGGCCACCATTACGATTATAAAAGCTGACGTTTCGAGCGTTAGCCCTTCGTCGGAGCGAATAAAGGAATTGTGGGTTGTGTGTGATTTTAAAGGCAGCAAGATGGAGCTACGTTATTGGTGGGAACATGGCAACGAGAAAAACACGAATAAATTAGTGGAATGAAAAGCGTTCGTTGATACCTGTGGGATTTAGACTGCCGGTTTGAAAGATGAGCTTTTGTTCAAGAGTTTTACGGCTTTCCGTGCTACCTAAGTGTAAGGAAAGACCGCAGATTGCCATATGTTGCTTAGAATGATTAGGTAAATTAAAATGTCTAGCGACTGGTTTCGATGTGTCCTTGTCATTCCTCTCCACGTCGCGAAGGTGGCCGTGGAGCAGTGGAGCTCCACATGGCCGTGGAGCGGTGATGCCGCTGGAATAGAATTTCCCTTGTAAAAACTGACGGACTTATTTCTTCCCTTTTTTAAATTTTCAGATAGGCGATAAGATCCTACAGTTATATTTCATGAACGCGCCTTTCACAAGCATAAAGCCTTTTACGCGGTAATGAGTACGTGACCACAAAAGACTGCATTTCTATAACTAAGTAACTGTTTTTAAACCTCAGACATTTTGTTTTCTTTTGACCCCCAGCCTTTGGCCACCCAGGAGGAAATTAAACCTAAATAGACCATCACATTCTGTGATCGATGTCTACAACTGTCAGTTTTGTTTTATTAATTCAGTGGTACTTTAACAATGCCACTATTGTTACCAGAGTCCTGGGTCACTTAACTTCCAATTAAATTCAATTGTATCAATTAGTACATTGGATCAAACAGAGCAAATATGACAAAGAATTTGGATGGAATTTCATGCATGGCTCGTTTCCTTTGATATGATAAGTAAAAGTAAAGCCAACTGACATTGGTAACAGTGGTCACTTTGTGTTTGGTTTTATTATATTTCAAAATCCGTTTCACTTGGATATTTCCTTTGTCTTTGTTATTTTTTCAATCAAACGTTTAGCTTTGATTCGCTTTTTCTATCTTAACATTCTACAATAAGTTTGTGATTTCGTCGGTTGTGTGTCATTTATATCGTTTTGAAAAACAAAAAAGATTAAATTACCCCTAGTGAGAAGGCATTTTTTTGTACTATCTCGTAGGTTAAGGACAATCATTTACTCAGCTAATACCAAGGGGTAGGAAATGGTGTTCTCCAAAAATTCTTAGGTAGCCAGTTCATGCGTTCAGTTGGTAAACAGCACTATAGGACCTCACGCGTTCAATACTCCATGGACTCTGAACTCCAGTAGACTTAGAGGGCTATTTTCACATGCATCCTAATACTACCTAAACTGTACCCTTATTTTCGCTATTTTACAGGAAGTCTAAAGCTAGCCTGACCAAACTTGCACAAGGCTTGCCAAGGGAGATTGATTTAGGAATCAGTTCAAAACAAGGAAATGATCTTTTCAGTGATTTAAACAGTTTTCTTTTTTCAGCAAAACCTGCCTTACACCAAAACTTGATGATTTATTTGCCCTAGCTCTGATGGAAACACTTGCTACTTGAATAACTGGCTGCTGTTTAGTGGGAGCTTTGAGCAGTACAACTGTGGGAAGAATAGGAAGGTGAAATTGTTTCATGTCTACTGCCACAACTCAAGTGGCTATGCAAGCTAAAATGTTTAAAAAAAAATTGTCCTTCTAAATTGATGAAATTAGCCAATTTATGGAAGTAATTCCTCTACTGTCTGGCCTCCAATCAAATTTAAGTGTATGACATGATTGTGCATAAACATGGTTTTTCTGTTCTTCTGATAAATAAAATTTCAAGGTCTGTTATGTTTTCAGTGCATTTAACTTGAACAGTTAATCACTTTCTTCTTTCTTAGCATGTTGTTCCTTTTGTTTCTCTTTTTCCAGGAATCTCTTAAAGGATTCATGTTCCTTCATTTCCTCTTCATCCCACTCCTCGTCATCTCCTTTTTCATCATCATCATCATCACTGTCCAAATCAGCACCGAGGGAGATATGGAAGGGAGTTTCATGAGCAGACTCAATGGCCTGGGCACCAGTTTTCACTGTTTCCATAGCAACAGGCTTTCCTTTGCCTAAATCTTGCTGCACCTTTCTTAGTTGATCTTCTCGATCTTTTTTTGCTTTTTCTTCTTTTTCGTTTTTCAGTCTTTCATATTCTGATGAAAATGGAAGGAAATGTAAATGTAGTGGATAGGGTAAAAGTATATTATTCACTTGTAATCCTTTTATTCCCAAGATCTAACAAGTAATTCTATAAAGACACTGGTTCATATGTTTTGTTTCCAAGTACAAAATAACAAGAAATAGATGTCTCTGAACAGGCAACTAAAATTTTAGGAAAAGACGTCAAACATTTACAGGAGTACCCCCACCTTGTGAACGACTCTGACTGATATTTTGTATGTTCCACACTCACAGCAAATGCTAAAACATCCTTCTTTATTTCAAGGTTTAAATAGTGGCAAGTCTGCATTTGGGTCAAGAAGCCTATCAAGACAGAGCTTATATTGGTTTCTGTAGCAAGAAGCAACCAGGAGTTTTCCTACTCCCCCTGGATAGGATACCAATCTATGGCAGGTTATCACCCTTGCAATTCCTCAGGGGTTCCCTGACATTTTGCCCATAATCCAGTTAGGTCTTAAGGCTGGACCTCCTGCACTAACTGTTAGGCCACTGTCTCTAACATTTTAGACCAAGGTGAAAAATAAACCACCATCCTCACTCTATTCAGACAAGTATTTTGCAGGTCACGAGATGCGATTAACATGTAACTTATCCTCATAATATCCAGACAATATCCACTGGCAGTTTCCAGGTAATGAGAATACTTAAACTTATCAGGTACAAGTTGTTATCTTTACAAGGAGGTGTGCACATCTTGGGAGTAAAATGGTTAAAATATCCCAGAGTATTTTACCTGGTTTGTACTGAGTCTCAAATTCCACAACAGCATCATCTACTGCCTTTAAGAACTCCTCAAAACCAGCCCCTGTCATTGATGATACACCTACTGTCCGAAGATTCTGATAAAACTCATCAAGGACAAGACTCATTGACCTTGAGAAACTTGACATGTAAGTTGTGTCTTGAGACAGAGCTTCTTCAAACGCTTCAAAATCTTGCATCCATTCGACAGCAAAGTTGTGGTCTACAATGTCTGTCTAAAAGTGAAACATATTGTTTAAGTTATCATTAGTAAAATGTGATCTTCAAGGGAGTTGAAAAACTATAGATTTTAGTCTTCTTAAATTTTTTTCTTAGTTTGTAACTTGAAATGCCATATGCTGAAAATCTCACTGACTAAAAGAGATTTTGATATCAGACCAAGAGATTTGAGACTCACTCTAAGCACAACGGATATAACAAATTTTCAAACCAATAGAGCAATCTTTTTTTTTTTCCAAGTAATTTTAGGCAGTGAAAAAGGTACTGTAGGAAGTAAATTTTCACTGGTTACTACCTGAAAAAGAGAGAACATTGGGAGACTTGACTAAAGCCTGGAAATTAGACTGGCACTACTGGCCTATTTCAGCCGAGAAAACAAAACTTAAATTACAGTATAATTTGAATATATCAACCAAGTTGAAATGGTAAATTGGCCACCGTTACGATTATAAAAGCTGACATTTCGAGCGTTAGCCCTTCGTCGAAGCTCCAACGAAGGGCTAACGCTCTGATGAAGGGCTAACGAATTGTTCCGACTAATTGCTCCGACGAATTGCTCCGACAAATTGCTCCGATGAAGGGCTAACGCTCGAAACGTCAGCTTTTATAATCGTAACAGTGGTCAATTTACCATTTCAACTTTGCTAATATATTCAAATTATTTCGTTACCCCCACCGACGCAGCCCCAAACAGTTTCTTTAGAAACTATCAGCCATCGNAACCGCCTCCTGGTTAGCTCAATTGGTTAGAGCGCCGGATTGTGTTGTGCGGGAGGTCGAGGGTTCGAGCCCCGGCCGGACCAATACTCATGGTCTTAAAATAACTGAGGAGAATTTGCTACCTTTCTATAACATCAATGAAATGGATAGATATTCTAGTCTTCTCGGATAAGGACGAATAAATGGAGATCCCGTCTCCTGCAGGGTTAGGGGTAGGAGACATTAATTTCCCGCACATGAGATTACTGTGTGATGGATGTCCTCTCCTGGGGTGGGATGTGTGTGGGGGGGAAAAGGTGAGGTCCTTACACGGACTAAAGTGGCTGCCAGAGGCGCCTGATAATGCTGACGTCTGATCTCAACCTTAGTAACACTGAAGACAGCCTATGCTGCTATTAAGGTATTGAATCATTCATTCATTCATTTAGAATGCCAAAACATTCACTGATTAATATTCAGATTTTTTAAAAAAAATTCAGTGGTATCCTTACATAACAAGCTTATTTTGGTTTATTTCTTGCAGTAATGAAAGCGTTTCTTACTTGAACTCATTTGACTGTTTCTTGTCCAGAAAGCTCATAACCTGATCAAACCTTGTTGCAAACAGGTTTAGTGAGGTGACAATTCCGCCATTTGGTCCCAACTTGTATTGTTTCATGACTTCTTTATAGTTCACTGAGTCTCTAATGTCAATGTTTGCTGGATATGGCACTTCTTTCACTGCAGGGTCAAGGTTGACTACATAAGGGGTCTCTTTTTGGGCATACAAGTGTGCTGTTAGTCTCTGAAAGGTTACAGAATGGCTTAGGTCATGTGGTAGTTAAACCTTTCTTTCCAAGGTCTCATCACTAATAAATATACCAAGCATGGGGTCAAGATGGCTGGATATTGGCCAAGTTCTTTTTTTGCATTTTTATAGGCCGAGATGAAGTTGAGGTCCATAAAAATGCAAAGAAAGAACAAGGCTAATATCCAGCCATCTTGACTAAACAAGCTTGGTTAATAAAGGATTTAGACATTGCAAAAAGATTTTGCTCTCTTACGAATTACTTCAAGAGTCGGGAAAGAAAGCCAACTGTGTTTATCGTATAACAAACTCACAAGAGTTCTTTCTGTTTTCTTTGTTTTGACTATCTTCTGCTACTTTTTGCATTTCCACTGCCAACATTGTGCAAGAATTAAAAATGTAATTCTAATTCAATTTTTTCATGCATGGGATTGATATGAGCAATCCCGAGTGGGTAAGATGGGTCCATCTAGACTGCTTGGGCAACCAATCAGAACACAGGATTCACTTCACCTTACCCACAGGCACTGAGTAATGTAATAATTCTCCTTACTGTCTGCTACATAATTCTTATGACGTTAGTATGGAGAATCTGGTATTGTATCAAATAATAGTTCCCATGTTAATATTTTTCTTTATTCTCATCATCTGCCTGCTTGATATTGTATTGATATTGTAAGGAGAAATTATGTCTTGGTCACTCATGGAAGTTAAAGGGTTGGAAAGATTTCTGTATAACCCCGTACCAATCAAGAACAAAGCCGTAATCCCAAAGGTAATCTGTTGTTTTGCCTTCTGCTTTCTTTTATCCAAGAATTGTATGCATAATGAAGTATGGGGGTTATATGGAAATCTTGCCAAAGGGTTAAGTAAATTCGAAGCGTTACCCCATTCGTGTTTCATAGATTGCGAAAACTTGACTTTAACTGAAATGGACGAGTGGACTTTTATCTTAAAATAATTCATTTCAAAATGCAAACTCTTCAGCCGATCATTGAAGAAGTCAATCATTTTATTGCCAAGATGGACTAATATAAGAAATTCTGTCTCAAAGAATAGTGAGATCATTTGGCCAAATTTTTTGAACATTCATAAAGTTCATTCAAGGAATTAAGTATAACGCGCGAGGATTGTTGTCATCACCGACTAACAAGGGTCATTTTTCAAGATAAATATAGAAGTGTTACGCATGAATCATACTTCTAGAAGTCAAAAGAAACATCTGTCCTCAATGTGATCAGACAAATTACGAGCACGTGGGACTTATAAACGCACTCGGTACCGTCGTTCTATAATCATTTTTGACAACCGAAGGAATCGTTTGAGAAATATACCTGCACAAAAGTTGTCTTTCCAGATCCAGCCATACCAAGACATAATATACAAGTGGGCTTTCCTTTAAATGAGTCCTCACTTGCAGCTTGATCGGTTCTATCGATAGATGCCGTTGCAGAAGTCGAGGAAATGTTTTCCCCGCCACTAGCTTCCGCCATGTTGAAAGTTTGATGTTTACTAGATGACTCTTACACCACCAGAACATTAAGCTATAACTATTACTTCAGAGGTTATCGCGGGCGTATGATAATATTTCAGGACCATCGTTCCGCTAATGGTCCGGTCCATGATAATTTCAGACTGCAAAGGGGTACCAAAGTCGAACTTTCATCTCTTTGTAGTATTTTTTCACGTTGAGCGTCATTAAGATGCACGATTCGGGATTTAATGCATAAGGGATTCTTTGCGATCATGTATAGCAAGTTTCCTTTTCTTTCGATTGTCTTGTTCAAATAAGAGCCAGAGCAACCTTGTTAGGTACACTGCACCGTGAAGACTATCTAGGCGTTGGGTTATTTTTTTTGTCATTATTTTCTGTTTTTAGGTGAGAAGGTGGGATCAAATGAATGTTCACATCAGCCTGCTACAGAAACAGAAGACGTCTCACACCAGCTACCCGCCGTTAACTTAACTCTTAACCAGTCCTCCTTTTAAACAAAAACGTACTCCGGCATTTCATCTAAAATGACAACCCATATAAAAGGGCCACTTGGAAACATGGAAGACTTTTATGGAAGGAAACAGATTTTAAATCCCGTTAGGCCGGTTTAGATGAGGTGACTTGGATTTAAGAAAAAAGCTGTCTAATCATGGTTTTTATTGCAGCGCGCAGTGAGTGCTGTAAGTGGTTGATGACACAAGCGCACCATAACAATGATAAGAGCTCTCCGAATTCAACGAAAAATAAAATGAACAAGTCATTTAGGACCGACTTAAGGTAAAAAAAAACTTTTTACGACGAAACTCACAAGGCACGTAGTGAAAAATCTGGAACCCGCGCGAATTGGAACGTGCGTTACATCTTTAGTCTATACGAAAAAATCCCACTAAACAACCCCCATCAAAAACTTAGATTTTTTCTTAAACGCGAAATTCTCTCGAAAATAGACTCAGCTTTAGATTAAGGGAAGGCTGGGGATGTTTCACGTAGTTTTGAGGATTTGTAAAATATTTTTATTTACAGCAGGGGTTTCGCTTCTAAAGAAACCGTGGTGCAGCATTGGCGGGGAGTATAACAAGACAAATTGGTTTTATCAAGTGAGCTGATAGTGTGAATTGGCTACCGTTGAGAGTTTCTAAAGACGGCGTTTCGAGCTTTCACCTTTCGTTTGAATGATTTTTATCTTTTCTGTTTAGCTTGTCCACACCTGCGGCTCTTCCACCTCAACATGGCTACGTTTTCCCCATACTGCCAACCCTCAAAAGTTCTAAGTGGAAGTCATATTACAGGTATTACACGGGAAAGAAAATTTTCCAAGAAAACCAACGGAAGCTCATTTGTAACATCAAAATACGTTACCGAAAGCGAGTTTTTCAAACAGTATAAATAGTTGATAATAATAATAATCATTATTATTAGTAGTATTATTATTGTCATTGTTATTAATGATAGTTATTATTATTATTATTATTATTATTATTATTATTATCGTTATTATTAGTAGTACTGTCATTTTCATTATCATTTTTTTAGTTAGACTTAGCTGGGGAGTTCCTGATTACCTTCTCTCCCCAGCCTTCCGCTGCCATTAAAATCCAAAATTCCGCTGACAAATACTGAGAATTTGCTCGCCCAGAATATGCTAGCTACGCAAATCAGCTACGCAAGATTTGTAATAATGACAAAAGACCTGAAGGGAAATTCCCCAGAAAACCACCAGATGCTTGCTTGTGGTCTCAGATTATGCCTTCGTAAGCACTTCTTTACTTGTTAGAAATATCGAAAAATCTACTGTTGAGGAAACGTGGTAATAGTGATCCCTCTTGGAAAAATGAGTGGGCAGAGTCTAAACGCTATCTTAAATCGTCTTACCACTGATGTTGTTCAGCTTCGTAAAGACAAGAAAAGGGACGCCCTACTCTGTTGGGAACCTATCGTGAAGGAAATTTTAGATGAAGTGAAAAGGAAGGATCACCGATTCCGCGCTCTTCACATCTTTCCCACGGGAAGCTATTATGAAAGGGTCAAAATAAAAGAACCCGATGAATTCGACCTGATGTTGATCATGGATAACTTGGAACTGGATGACGCACCATTTGAAGAAGAGGATGGCTTCAGCTCGCCACCATTCGGTAAGGTTAGGCCTGATTTAGACACTGGCTTCTCTTGATTCGACTTTGGATTGACCCAAACTGTAAGAAGTGTGTCAGCTGTTGATTCGAACACCTTCAGAGCTGTTTCAACTGGTACAGTTCCAGGAAATCTTCGTAAACGTTATCATGATTTAGAATTTTGTTAGGGAAATGTAATGTTCGGCGTCTGATTCGTATTATAGAGCCGTTCCAAAGCTGTAATTTGTCCAAATTCCCCGACCAGCGCGGAGGTGAAAGTGACTTAGCCGTTCTAAATTCATCAGCCGTTCTTAGTGTTTCAGAAGCCGAACTTTTAATTTACTAAACTGAAAAGTTGGAGGTTGAAAGCGCACCTTAGCTAGCCAAAATTGCGGAGTTTGATCAGTTCTGCCCTTAGTGCTTTTTTTAAGGAATAATATGACATGGAGAATTATGATTTAAAACAGCAGGAAAAATAGAGATGACTTTAAGCTGGACATAGAGATTGTCACTCTCTAAAATTTCTAAAAAGGAGATGAACTTAATGAAACCCCTGGATTTTCCCAAGACCAGGAATTTTTCATGTCTGATGATCAGCTCACAATACACGTTTCAAGATGAGAAAACTCCTTTTTTTAAAGTAGAGTCACCTAACCTCTGCCAATATTATTTCTTCTGTTCTAGGTCCTAATTGTTCAAAAGACCACAATATTGATTAATTGTTATAAAATATAATAGTATGGGATAGTATGGGAGGTCAAAGGCTTCCTGACTAAGTTTGGCTTACCTTGTTGCACCCAAAGTCAGATAGTATACTTCAGTAAAATTACTTGGTGGAAGGGCATATTTTGGGTTGTTACTTCTCACTGCTAGAAAAGTAACATGTTGGCCAGAGAGAAGTGACCACTGGGAATATGTTAAGTGAAGAAAAAGCGAGGACCAGAAATACCCTTGCAATGCAATTATTGTTTTCTCATCTTGCAGGATTTACCACTGTAATGATTGACATGGGAGAAGAAAGACTTTGGCAGCAAGATAGATGGGTGAACCGACAAGGAATGCTAAATGCTTCACAGGTTAAAGCAGTTTTTGGGAGGCTTGTGAGAGGAGCCGTCGTGGAAAAGAGATATCGGTAAAAATAAGCTTGATTGGTTTATCGCCTGCACAGTTGGCATGTTTTCTTCTAAGGAAATTAAAACATAATTAATAAAGAGAATCCCATTCCAAGGGCCATACATATTGGCTGGAGTGGGACTGGAAAAAGCAACACAGCCTTGTGTATGGTCCTGGGAGTGGAAAAATGCAAAAAGGAAGGAAATAAGTGGTTGTACAATTAATTGCTGTAAGACCTATTTAGGAAGGTCTGGAGAGAAAAACATTTAGCAGTGGGTCATGTCAATAAGCATGGGCAGACACAGTTTTTACCTCATGGTTTGATGTAGTTGTACTATAAGGGGTTGGTAAGGAAGTAAAATTCACTCACTCTCTCCATTCTAATTAATTCATGCATTAAAAATGTAGATTAAAAATACTATCACCTACTTCCCCTACCAGGTTCAGTTCTTTCCCTAAAGTGTTACAATTGTCATCTGTTAGTATAATCTGGGGGGTGGGACAAAGGTCAAACTTTCTTCCTGAATGCATGGAGTGCATGGCATCTGTGCATTAAAATTGAGGTGGTTTTTCCTTCCTTTCGCTCCATCTTTAAAAGATGCCTGTGAAGTCCTCTAAAACAAAAGGAAATGTGTGAAGGATTACTCAGCTGGAAAGAAAGGGCTTCAAAGTCTTGAAATAATACAATATATCAGAACATGTTTTAAAGGATTATGGATAGTAAGTCACAACCATAAAGCCTGAATGAAAAGTATCCTGATATCCTAATAATTCTGAAATTTAGGAATGTTGATGTTAAATCTGAGGGGCCAGCAGTGACCCTGAAAATAACCAAACAAGGAAGGGAATACTCAGTGGATTTAACACTGGCAATCAAGGATTACACCTGGCCAGAAGATGCAGAAGAATGGTAAACAAGGCACAGAAATGGTAATATCACCATTGACACCTTAATTTATGTTGTGGCTCCTCTTAAGGAGGCAGTGTGGCTGAGTGGTTAGAGTGTCGGACTCGTAATCCGCCGCTCCCGGGTTCGAGTCCCACCCTGACCACTAGATTTATTTTACGTTAGCCCCGAGTTCAGACCCTTGGCCATGCTTATAAATACCCAACTTGTTTGCTTCTGGCCGGTTGGGGTTCTTAATGATGTTCTTAATGATGATATGTTCAACTTAGACCATTTGTTTCATTCGTTTGCAAGGACCACAATGGAAACTACTGGTTCACCAGTAATTGTGTAATCCTATGAAAAGACTTTTTTTTTTTCTTCTTAAAGAAGGATTCAGTTTCATGAATGAAGTTCTGGAATCTTTGAACCTTTTCTATATTGTCTAATTTTTATAATGGTGGTTAAAATTTATTACTATCATAGAACTAATGTTGTAAAGGTAATTTGGTTGTAAAGGTAATTTGGTTTTATCAACTAAGTTGGTAATGTAGATTGGCCACCAGAGAGTTTAAAAGCTCTTTTCAGTGGCCAGTTTACATTATCAACTTAGTGGATAAAACCAAATTACCTTGTTACCCCCACCAATGCAGCACTGCAGTTTAGAAACTTATCCCCTTTATTCCATAGGTTATAAAGTTTGGTGCTACAGGGCATAAAATTAACTTTTTTTTTCTGGTAGCCACTTGGCTCCTAAATATTTCAAAGTGGTAGCCAATTCCAAAAAGTTGGTGGCTATTATGACACACACACACACAAAAATTTTTTACCCTGTCACTATACTAGATAGATTATCATATCTTATAGTTCACCACTAAATTTTCTCTGATTCTTATTGATTTAAATCGATCACGTGACAC